AATGACTATACTACTCAAAGCAATCTACAGATTCAGTGCAATCCCTATGAAACTACCAGTGGCATTTTCCAAAGAACTAGAACAAAAAAGTTCACAATTTGTATGGAAACACAAAAGACCCCGAATAGCCAAAGCAATCTTGAGAAAGAAAGATGGAGCTGGAGGAATCAGGCTCCCGGACTTCAGACTATACTACAAAGCTACAAAAGTAATCAAGATAGTATGGTACTGGCATAAAAACAGAAATAGAGATCAATGGAACAGGATAGAAAGCCCAGAGATAAACCCACACACATATGGTCACCTTATCTTTGATAAAGGAGGCAAGAATATACAATGGAGAAAAGACAGCCTCTTCAATAAGTGGTGCTGGGAAAACTAGACAGCTACATGTAAAAGAATGAAATTAGAACACTCCCTAACACCATACACAAAAATAAGCTCAAAATGGATTAAAGACCTAAATGTAAGGCCAGAAACTATCAAACTCTTAGAGGAAAACATAGGCAGAACACTCTGTGACATAAATCACAGCAAGATCCTTTTTGACCCACCTCCTAGAGAAATGGAAATAAAAACAAAAGTAAACAAATGGGACCTAATGAAACTTAAAAGCTTTTGCACAACAAAGGAAACCATTAACAAGACGAAAAGACAACCTTCAGAATGGGAGAAAATATTTGCAAACGAAGCAACTGACAAAGGATTAATCTCCAAAATATACGAGCAGCTCATGCAGCTTAATATCAAAAAAACAAACAGCCCAATCCAAAAATGGGCAGAAGACCTAAATAGACATTTCTCCAAAGAAGATACACAGATTGCCAACAAACACATGAAAGGATGCTCAACATCACTAACCATTAGAGAAATGCAAATCAAAACTACAGTGAGGTGTCACCTCACACCAGTCAGAATGGCCATCATCAAAAAATCTACAAACAGTAAATGCTGGAGAGGGTGTGGAGAAAAGGGAACCCTCTTGCACTGCTGGTGGGAATGTGAATTGGTACAGCCACTATGGAGAACAGTATGGAGGTTCCTAAAAAACTACAAATAGAATTACCATATGACCCAGCAAACCCACTACTGGGCATATACCCTGAGAAAACCGTAATTCAAAAAGAGTCATGTACCACAATGTTCATTGCAGCACTGTTTACAACAGCCAGGACATGGAAGCAACCTAGGTGTCCATCAACAGATGAATGGATAAAGAAGATGTGGCACATGTATACAATGGAATATTACTCAGCCATAAAAAGAAATGAAAATGAGTTATTTGTAGTGAGGTGGATGGACCTAAAGACTGTCATACAGAGTGAAGTAAGTCAGAAAGAGAAAAACAAATACTGTATGCTAACACATATATATGGAATCTAAAAAAAAAAATGGTTCTGAAGAACCTAGGGGCAGGACAGGAATAAAGGCGGAGACATAGAGAATGAACTTGAGGACACGGGGAGGTGGAAGGGTAAGCCGGGACGAAGTGAGAGAGTGGCATGGACATATACACACTACCAAACGTAAAATAGATAGCTAGTGGGAAGCAGCCGCATAGCAGAGGGAGATCAGCTCGGTGCTTTGTGAACGCCTACAGGGGTGGGATAGGGAGGGGGGGGGGGAAATGCAAGAGGGAGGAGATATGGGGATGCATGTATACGTGTAGCTGACTCACTTTGTTATACAGCAGAAACTAACACACCATTGTAAAGCAATTATACTCCAATAAAGATGTTAAAAAAAAAATTGGGGGTTTGAGCTAGATCAGGGGATGCCTGGCACAGGGACCTCCACCCCCTCCCCTGCGCCCACGGTAGACGCCTGTCATCCTCCAAGGCCCCCATGACCCCAGACAGGTCCCAGATGTCTTCTCTGCAGGACACTCCAGATGCGGGGCCTGGTGCCGGGCAGCCTGGTCTTGGGTGATGTCCTTGCCTTCCTCCCGGGGTCTGCGAGCTGCTTTGGCTTCCCCAGTGCCCCCCATCGGAAGCCCCTTCGGTGGGCCCATGGGGGTGGTCAGTGGGGGGAAGTGTGGGTCTAGCTTGAGGGCTGCCGTGTGCGGGCCGACTCACCATGTCCTCCTGGCCCTCAGTGGGCAGCAGCCTGGGCTGCTCTGCCTCCGCCTGGAGTGGCGTGGGCGGGACTGGGCATCAGTGTTGCCTCCTACCTCGCCCTCGCCCTCGCCGGGGCAGCTCTGCGGTCTCTAAGCAATGCAGGTCAGGACCCGGAGCCATGCCGCTGGGCCCAGGGTGGAGCAGAGCGCAGAGCAGAATCGGGGCAGGTCTGCCCCAGCAGCTCCCCTGCAGGTGGGTGTGGGGCGGGCCCGGGAGTGGACCCTCCAGTGGGGAGGACACCTGCTGCTGCTGTCAGGCCCATCACCTCGGCCGGGAGGGCCTCACAGAGGCTCCAGCAGGAGCGAGGTGCAGGGCGAGGCGCAGCCATCGGGCAGAGGTCAGCTCGTACCTCCAGGGGGGCTGCGGGGTCCCCGTGCCCTCCTCCTGCTCTGGGTTTTGGGCGCATCTTGCGGTTCCTGGTGGGCTCAGGCCTTCGGGAGGCTGAGGGCAGGAGGAAGGAGGGACAGCCGTGCTGCTCTCGCTTCTCCGGCCCCCAGGCCTGGCCCTCACTCAGCGCCGCTGCTGTCCAGTGCCACATGTGGCCCCATGTCACCACGGGGCACAGGCTCACAGGTGAGCTCCTGAAGGTCACTGATTGACGCCTCACCCTAATCTGCTAAGGGCGGGCGTGCTGCCCCCTATTACAGATGAGAAAGCAGGACCAGGGGGGTGAAGTGACTTGTGCAGGCCCCAGCTTGGGAGGACCGGCTCTCCATCCTTGGGGAGGGGGGTCCCTTCAGCTTAGTGAGGGGGGCAGGGCCCATTCTGTGGCACCCCGTCTAGACAGTACCGTTCCTTGTCTGCTACTGGGAAGGTCGACCCTGGTCTTTGGGGGCCCCGGCCTCTGAGAGACCCAGGCCAGCAGGAGAGAGCTGCAGGCGGAGGTCACGCCCTGCGTGGGAGCCCATCCGGGGCAGAGACGGCCCTACCACAGCCTCAGCGCTGGCCCTGGAGCTCGGCTTGTTGGCCCCCAGCCTGAGCCGTGTCCGGGTGCCCCTCTAGCCCCGTGTCCCCTGGCATCCTGCTGGCGGGCCGCTCCTCCCCCGGGCCTGGGGGCTTTGTCCTGCAGGCAGGGCTGCATTGCTGGGGGCGTCCCCTGGCACCCGCACTTCCTCTGGTGCCTGGGGGACAGGATCTGGGCAGTCTGAGGACAGACGGCTCCCTTCAGGCTGCTGCGGGGCAGGGGGCTGACGTCCAGGGCACAGCCTGGCGCCAACATGAGCCAGGGGCACGAGGCTGGAGGAGGCTGGCAGCCCTGGTGGGCGGTGGAAGCCGCTTGGTAGGAGGCCTCCCGGGGAGCGGGCATTGCTCCCTTGGCCTCTGCCCAGCAGTTTGGAGGCAGCCTGGGGCTGCCCTGGGACACCACAGCCCAGCAGCATCCGCCCGGCCCTCTGGCCTGGCCCTGCTGCAGCTTCCGCCCGCCCTCTGGGTTGCCAGCGGCTCCCTCCCTCTTCTTTGTTTGGGTCCTTGCTGCCTGCTGCCTGCCCTTGCTGGGGGACACCTTGGTGCAGAAGTCGGGGCGTGAACTGGCTGCGGGTGGATGGGCGGGAGCGGCGGGGAGGAAGCTGAGGGTGCAGCCTGGCACGTGGGGAGCCTGGGGGTGGGGGTGGGTGGCTGCGAGCCACCGGGGACGGGCCCGCTGGGCTCCGGGTCCCCAGGGCCTTGAGGCCCAGAGTCCTGCCCGGTGGCGTTTCGTGTTCCCAGACCAGTGTCCTCGGGCTGGGCTGAGTCTTTGTGGCCCAGCGGTGGGATGGCCTCCATCTCCCAGTTCCTGAGCAAAGGCAGAGGCCGTGTGAGACTGCAGGTTAGATGAGATGGCAGGCTGGGGACTTGCCCTTCTCAGACCAGGACTGCCACGACCCCTCACCTGCCTGGACATCTGTGGCAGTCCCTGGGATTGTTTTTGCCTCTCAAGCAACAGGTGCTGTTGGCTGGGCCCCGCAGTCCCTTCCAGTTGCCCGTCTGTGGCTGGGCGCACGGTGGGCCTTTGGGTTGGAGGGTCCCTAGTGCCGCCCCGCAGCCTCCGCCAGTCCCCCAGGTGGCCGTGGGACCGCCTTACACTTGCTGTCCCTCCTGTCTTCCCAGGGCTGCCCTGCCCCTCCCTTCAAACCGTGGCTCTGCGGCTTGGCCACCTGCTCTCTGCTCCCGGCTCAGATCCTGCTTGAGCTGCTGCCCTGGGGACCCGCTGGTCTGTGGCTCTGCTGTGCCCCCAGGGTCTCTGAAAGCTGCTGTTGGATCCCTTGTCGCCCACTCGATGCTCAGGTCCCCAGGGCCAGGCCCCCTTGACCACGTTGGACACATTGCCTGGTGCACAGTAGGTGCACGGGTGCACCTGTGGAACTGGGCCGAGTCCTCTTGGGTCCCTGTGCCTGCCTGGGGTCTGCATGGCCGCACAGGACAATGATGGGACGGCCTTCCAGAGATCTGAGGAGATGCTGGGCCCCCACCTGGATCTTGTCTGCTCAAGGCAGACACCCCTGCAGCCGCAGCTCTTGTTTCCACACTGATCTTTCTGGAGGATGATCTTACTGGAATTTTGCAAATTAAGCTTTAATATTTTTATGTTATCCATCCATGAAGTTTATGGAGTAAAGGAGCGCCACATGGTTAATTCAGAGAAAAGTCACCCCTAGCCGCCCTCCTCCTGTCCCGAGTCAGCTGCTTTGGATTCTTCTAGTAGATCTTTGATGCTTTCCTCTGAATAACACACTCGTGTCGCTACTGCTTGATTTTTTTCAACATTTACACATTATTTGTTGACTTGCAAGGTGAGGGTGCAGCAGAGTCAGACTCCTAGGCAGGGTGGGCGGGGCCAGAGTGCATCCTGAATCCCAGCGCTAAACCCTCTTTCCTCCCTCCCTGCCCGGGTTTGGTTTCTTCCAGCTCTGCAGGAAGGCGGCGGCCCTGCCTTCTGTGAGAAGATGTCCTACGGATCCATCGCTGGCAGCGGCGGCCTGGGGAGCCACGGCCCTTTTGGGGGGCCCTCCACACAAGGCTATCAGCCCCTAGGTAAGGACAGCAGTGGGCAGTGTGGGCGGGTCTCCACTGTGCTGTGTTGGTGGCTGTAGATGGGTTCTGTCCTGGCCGGCGCTGCCTGTGACCCGGGACCAGGGGTGACCCTGGCCCTGGGCTGGGATGGCGCCGTTGGCGTTGGGCTGAGTCGGCACCAGGAGAGAGCAGAGTAGGAGAGGCTGCTCTGCTGTGGGGTGGACTTGGGTGTCTGCGGTCATTCTGCGGTGGCCTGCGGGTGCTTGGCAGATGGCTGAGTGGGTGACTGTGGAGCAGGTGTCAGCGTGCAGTGCGCAGTGCGGGAAGCGAGGCCCGCGGGGTGCTGGACACTGTCCTGAGCTACACCGGGCGGGATCCGCTTCTAGGTTTCCGGGTGCCGAGCCCTCACCCCACAGGCTGACCGCACAGTCTGCTCACTCGCTGGCTCCCTTCCCTGGGCCAAGGGGGTTTTCGGCAGGACTGTGGCTTACGTAACTGATTTCGTGTCCTTGGGGGTGCCAGGCAGATGTGCGACTCAGTGAGTGTGAGTGAGTGTGCATGGGGACTTTAAATGTGACGTTTAAGGCTTGGCGACGTGGACTCCCAGGTGCCTCCCCTGGATCCCAGTTCCTTCCCGTCACCCCTGGGCTGTGGGTTACGGCTTCCTGGCTCTTGCTTGTGGTTTTGCTGCTACATGTCATAGTCTCACACAGACCTTGCGAGTCTGCGTGTTTTGGGACTCTGTACGGTTGAATTATTCTGCAGTTTGCTGGTTGTGCTGTTCTGCCCGAGTCACTGCCGTTCACGTGGCTGCCCTTCCATCTCCCTTCTCTGTGGCGCTGGGTCATGTGCGTGGCCATGGCAGGCGTTCCTGGTCCATGGGCGAGGGGCTGTTAGGGCACCTGTTTTGGGCCCTGTTGCATGGTGGTGCTGAGGACCCTTGGACGCTGGCGCTGTCGGGACGGCCCAAGCGAGGGGGTGGCCGGGGGTGGCCAGCTCGGTGACCGGTGGTTGTGCTGACCTGCCCCTGCTTCCCATCCCTTCAGCACCGGGCGGTGGCGGCCTTAACTGTTTGCCCGTCTGTGGGCGTGGAATGGTGTCTTCTGGTTGTAATTCACATTTCTCTGGTAACTCATGGGATTGATCAGGTTTTCGTGGGATCACTGGGCATTTGGGGCTCTCTGGGTAACTCTTTCGTGTATTTTTCCTTTGAGTTTGTCTTGTTCTTGTCGATGTACAAGGTTTCTGGAGGTGAAACCTTTGTCCACTGGGCTGGCTTTTCATTATGGTGCTGCTGAGGAAAGCAGGTTCTTAATCACGACGTAGCTGAGTTTATCAATCATCCCTGTCATGGTGTGCGTTTTCTGTTTAATAAATTCTATGATACGGTGATAATGATTTTGCCTTTACTTCCTCTAAAGCTTATATAATTTGTTTTTCATATTTAAGTCTTGCAATCACCTGGAATTGATTTTTGTTTATGGTGAGAGGTGGGGAGGGGAGGGTGGAGTGCAATAGCACTTTTCTCCGTATAACAGATGGTCCCTGGGCCCTTGACTGAAAATTCCATCCCTTTCCACAGACCTGCAGTGCCAGCTCTGTGATGAGTACAGTTTCCCTTACAGGTTCTCCTGGTCAGGTTTTCTATTCCTGTGCAAAGTTCTACCCTAATTTTCATGCAGTTGTTGTAACTTTGATATTTTTTAGGGCAAGTTGCTCTACTTGTTTTTCCTTAGAAGTGTCTTGGGTATTTTGGCCTTTTGCTGCTGAATAGATTATAGAATCCCTGCGTCAGACTTGGACTGCGATTGCTTTGCTTCCGCTGTGTTAACGTGTGAGAATCGGAATCTCTGTCACCACCAGTCTTCCAGCCCATGAACGTGTAGGTCTTTCTGTTTATTGGGTCTTTAACCTCTTTCAATAAAGGTTTATAATTTTCTCCATAAAGATCTTACGTATCTTCCATTAAACTTAACAAAATGACAACATGTTTTTTGCTGCTTTTATAATTGGTACCATTATAAATGGTATAGATTACACGTTCCAAGTCATGGTTGCTGGTGCACGCACACACGACTGTTGTTTTAAGAAGGAAAGTCCAGAGGTTTTATTTAATTTTTACATCCTATTTTTTAACTTTCTAAATGTGAGATACTTCAAACAGAGCAGTAGACGCAGTGATATCATGAACCCAGCACCCGTCCACTGGGTTTCGGGGTGAGGGGCCTCCCCCGTGGCTGGTCCAGCTTCACCTCTGCCCTCATGACCCCTCTGCCCAGGGCATTGAGAAGGAAGCCCGAGACGTCAGCACATCTCCTGTGTGAGTATTTCAGGGTGTGTCTCTTTTCCATGACCAAGTGTCGTACAGTTGCAGCCGTGGCTTCCTGCCCACCGCTGGGTTCCGGAGCACCACAGAGACATGCGTTTCCACGGGGTCCTTACGAGATCCACGCGTTGTAGTCGATGATGCGCCTTTTAAGTCTTTCCAAATCTCTAGATTCTCCTCTATCTTAGTTTTTCTTTTTTCCTCCTGAACTTTATTTCTTGAGGAAGCCAGGTTCTCCCTGTGGAGTGTAATTGACTTTTGCCCACTTTGTCCTGCCATTTTGCTAAAGTCTTTTTATTAATTGTAATAATTTGTGGAATCTTGGGTTTTCTGTATAGACAGTGTCATTTATGAATAACAACAGTATTTTCCTCTTCTATTTCAATGCTTTTATCTTTTACTTATTTTTCCTGCCGTCTGGAGCCGGTCCGATGCTCTAGTTCAGGGTTGAGTAGAAATGGTGCTTATGTTCTGTGTGAGTTTTGGGACGAAGAGGACTCTGTGTTCCTCACAGGCATCTGGGATTTTGCTGTAAAACTGCCACGCGGGCCTGGAGTTTTCTTTGTGGACTGCTTTGGACTGCCCATTACTCTCTCCATCTGTGAAGGCTATCCAGGCTCTCTGTTTCTTCTTGGGTCAGTTTGTTGTGTTTTTCTGGACATGTGTCTGCTTCGTCTAAGTGTTCAAATTGATTGAAATGACATCGTGCGTGGTAGCGTGTCACTGTCCAGTGGGACCCGGGCAGCATTATTGTTTGGTCAAGGGCATAGCTCTGAGGGTAGCTGCTCTGGTTCCGACTCCCTGCTCTGCTGCGTTCCAGCTGTGCCCCGACCACCTGAAAATGGACCAGGTTAGGCTTCCCTCCTGTCGTGGTGGAGACTGAGCAAGTTAACCCGGTGAAGCTCTGTTCCTGTTGTTTTGGTAACGTCTGTGGTACCTGGATCACATTCTCTTTTTTATTCCTAATGTTGTTTATTTGTACCTTCCCGTTTTCTTCTTTCGTAAACAATATTGCCAGACCCTTGGCAGTGTTATGAGCCTCTCCAAAGAGCTGACTTGACTTTCTTGATCTCTATCATATGCTAGTTTTAAAATTTGATGGATTTCTGCCCATGTTTTTGCTATTTTCCTTCTCCTTTCTTTGAGTTGACGCTGTTTTATTTTTCTGACTCCTAAGCTGGATGTTTACCTCATTCAAATTTAGTTTTTATTCTTTTCTAATAAAAGTATTTAAGATTATAACTGTCCAAATAATCACTGTTTTAGTCGAATCTCACACATTTAAAAATATATAGTATTTTTTTTGTTAGTGTTTAGTTGTAAATATTTTATGTCCATTATGATTTCTTCTTTGACCCAGGATTTATTTAGAATTATAGTTCGTCATTTCCAAACATACGTATTTCTTTCTAATTGTCTTTTAAAAATGATGTCTAAGTTAATTGCGTTTCTGTCAGAGAAGGGTCTGCATCTTCCTGATTTGTTGACAGCTGTTGAGACCACGGCTGCTTCTGGGATGCTGGTGTGATTCTGGGGGTGACCAGGAAGGCTCCCAGGGAGGCAGGGCTGGGCTTCCCAGCCAGAATGGTGGGGCCCTGCGGAGACCCCAGGTGTGGGAGCAGCTGCCGTCCCCAGTACCTGCTGTGTGCCAAGCGCCGTGTGCTACGGCTTACTCGGGGACCCCGAAGTTAACTATGAAGAGCTCAGAGTGGGCCCTGATCGTAAAATCGCAAATGCGTAAAATCGCAAATGCGTAAAATCGCAAATGCGTAAAATCGCAAATGCGTAAAATCGCAAATGCAGCAAAAGGCCAAGTGGGACGTGACTAACACATAAAGAGTTCACATAAATAGAAGGAACTGCCCCCGCCGCCAAACCTTCATGCGGGTGGGCCAGATCTGTGACGAGATCGGGATGGCTCACAGCACGGGAGAAGGCACTCGGCCTCACCGGTACCTGGAGAGCTGCAAGTGAACTTGGCCATTCTCCCGTGGCCAGGCTGTGGGGGGGCGGGCTCCCCCGGAGGGAAGGGCACACGGCTCCCTGCCTCCAGACCCCGCTGCCTTCCCTCTCGGCCCAGCCATGCCTCTTCTCTGTTAGGGAATAATCAGAGATACAGGCAGAGGTGTTTGCCACATGGGGGTAGGAGACAGAGTTCAGAAATGCCATCACCCCGCAGCTGGGGAGACAGTGAAGAGAGCCGGCCACCGTGGGGATCAGTTGTTGGAGAGTGCCGACGACCCATCCACGGCCCGGTGGGATGACGGACGGACATGGGGAATGAAACAGGCAAAGCCCCGTCCACAGTCTTCTAGTTGCGTGAGACCTCAGCCTGAGTGTGGACAGTGTTTACCTAGGGATGTGTGGTTGCAAATGATCTTTATTGTTTTCTTTTTAATTGTCTGCATTTACATGTAAATTGTCCCAGTTTCCCCCCCCCCCCCAAAGTTCAAAGTTCACGTGATTCCGGAGGGCAGATCAGACTGGCCCCTCCATGGGTGTCTGGGAACCTTGTGGAGCAACCAGGGGGAGGTGGGCAGGGTCTGGACTCCTGGTGACCGGATGCCAGCGAGGCTTGGGCATCGAGTGGCACCTGGCCTGCCAGCCGGGCCTGCGGTCTCCCTGCTCCCCACGAAGCAGAAGGGTGACCCCATCACCCGGGACCTGGGTGGCTGCATCTCCACCCTACACAGTGCTGTCTGGGCAGCCGTCACTGGGGCCGGAGTTCCCGGGCCTGGGGAGTGTCTGCCTGCAGGGGAGGCTGGGTGGGTGCCTGAGGAGGAGGCCCTGCCTGGAGGCTCCCCAGGAAGCCCCTGGGGAAGAGGGGAGGTTAGGCCCTGACCTCGTGCGAGATGGGCCCTGTCCTGGACCCTCAGACCCGCAGATACACCCAACGTGGAGGCCTTTTCTGCGAAGGAGCTGCCGCTGTAGGAGCTCAGCGCTGAGATGGGCCGGGACTGCCAGTCCCCAGGACTTTGCCAGACTGTCGACGTGCTCAGATGTCTACCCTGGAGCAGGCTTCTGGAAAGTGCCCTCCTCGTAGAGCCAGGCGGAGCAGGGCCCACGCAGCCTCATGGGCTCTGGTGTGTAGCCTCTGCCCGGCACCACCGCCTCCGTGGGCCCCAAGGTGCCGCGGACAGAAGGCAGCTTGCTCAGAGAGGTGTCTGAGTGTCTTCACGATGTGCATCTTAGGGCTCAGGAATTTTGGCAGACCTGTCCAGGAAGTGTTTCTGAATGAATGAAAATTATCGAAGAGGAAACCCCACAGTTGCTCCTCAGCTCGGCAGCCGAGTGTCAGGGGAACTCGTTTTTATTTTCACTTCCAGTACACCAGGAACAGTGCTTTCATGAAATACAGCAGTATGGTCCTGTGCTGGTGTTGGCGGCGATTTCAAATTGCCACAGACGTTCCCAAGGCCTTATTCTCCGTTTTTGCCGCGTTGTTTGTTGCACACAGATAACACCTGTCAAAGGCCTGGCCTGGTCTGTGGGCCACATCTGAGGCTCTGCTCTAAGGAGTTTCGTACTGGTTTGGAATTACCTTTCAGAAGAACCTGGGTGTGGAGAAAGATTTGGAAAATTTGAAGTTCCGAACTGATTGCTCTCTTTCAGCAAACGGGGCGTTCTGGAGGGTGTGGCAGTCAGGGAGGGCTTCCTGGAGGAGGTGGGTCTGAGTGAGTGGAGCTGTCAACATGGATGCTTGGAGGGCCTGGCACACCTGCTGTGCTGCGTGAGAGCCTCGTTCTACCAGCGGCACCCTGAGCCACTCTGCAGGCAGGCGGGGCATAACCGAGACCGTCCCTTGCTGTCTGTAGAGTGCGCTAAATGTTGGACTGAGTACGGAATCCGTCATTTCCCCTGCCCGTCGCCAGAGAGCAGCCTGCAGGACCCCTGTGTGGGCAAGGACGGGGAAGGTGATCTGGGGCCGGCCGGTACACCCAGAGGCCCAAGGGCCAGGAAGCGAGGTACTTCCGCTGGGATGCTGGGTCTGGGTGGCCAGGGAAGGCCACCCAGAGATGACGAGCACTGAGGAGGCAGGGTCAGTGGGCAGGGCATGGACTTCCAGGGGCTCAGGCTGTGGGTGCTTCCCTGGTGGCACAGTGGATAAGACTCCTTGCTCACAATGCAGGGGACCTGGGTTCGATCCCTGGTCAGGGAACTAGATCCCACATACATGCGGCAACTAAGGGTTCGCATGCTGCAACTGAGGAGCTGGCAAGCTGCAACTAAGAAGCCCACATGCTGCAACTAGGACCTGGTGCAACCAAATAAATAAATAAATATTAAAAACAGACAAACACTAAAAGCGGGGGCCTGGCCCATCTCCACCCTCACCCCCACCAGCATGTCCCTTCCCAGGGCCAGCTGGTGGCGTGGTGGGGCTGGACCAGTGGCAGGAGGGATGTTGCCAGGCTGTCAGGGCCCTGTGGGCTTCAGGGACGAGGCTGACCCTACAGGACAGAGTGAGGGGCTGGACCGGCTCCCGTGACCCCTTGGTCTCTTGGCCCCAGAGCCTGCATCCTCCTTGCAGAGGGGGCTGGCAGGCGAGTGTCAGGTCCTCGGTGTGTGCTTTAGGAGGGCGCTGCGTGGGAGGGGAAGCCGAGGGCAGGACTCATGCAGCTGGGCAGGAAGGCAGGGGTCAGTGGCGCCCCAAGGGGTGGCTTCTTGGCCAGGGTGTCTGGCGTGTCAGTGGTGAGTGCTGTCCCCAGGCTGGCCCTGGCCCCAGAGGGCCTTCTCCCTGCGGACAGGAGACAGCTGTCCCAACCTTCTCACTCCTTTGCCCCTGACATCAGCTTCTGGAGGCAGGTAGGGCCGGGTGGCCCTTTTTGGAGGTAGATGGGCACCATGGCCCGGAAGTGAGGTCCTTGCCGCATGGCGCCCAGCCAGGCAGCTGCAGGACTTGGACCCAGGCCTTGGACCCAGGCCTCTGGGCAACCCAGCAGGGAGGGGGCCGGTGGGTGGGAGCTGGCAGCAATGTTCTGGATCTGAAGAGGCTCCCCGGGAGCCTCCACCGTATCTGCCACTCCACTGGCTGGGGCCTTAAACACCCGCCTTTTGGTGCCTTTCCAGGGCCAGGGGTCGCCACGGACGGCAGCGGGACACCGGAGCGCACCTCGCCGCCTGCCGGCCCGAGGAAGGACTTGGCTGCAAGGGCCCATGGCCGGGTGGCGGGGCCCAGGGCCTCCCGGGCCAAGAAGAGGAAGCCCAACTTCTGTCCGCAGGAGACGGAGGTGCTGGTGGCCAAGGTCAGCAAGCACCACCAGCTGCTGTTTGGCACCGGGCTGCTGAGGGCCGAGCCCACCCGGAGGTACCGCATGTGGAGCCGCATCCTGCAGGCCGTGAACGCGCTGGGCTACTGCCGCCGCGACATCGTGGACCTCAAGCACAAGTGGCGGGACCTGCGTGCCGTCGTGCGGCGCAAGCTGGGCGACCTGCGTGGAGTGGCCCCTGGCCCCGGCCCTGCCAAGCCCCAGGCCCTGGCCCTCACGCCTGTGGAGCAGGTCGTGGCCAAGACCTTCTCCTGCCAGGCTCTGCCCTCTGAGGGCCTCAGCCCCGAGCTGCCCAGAGGTGAGTTCATCGCCCAGCTCAGCCGGCAGGAAGCTCGTGGCCACTGAAGGCCGCTGTCCCTCCCGTCGGTCCTCCCTCCATGATCTCTGGATCCTTCCTGTCCTTCATCCTCTGCTCCTTCACTCACGTGCTCGCCCAGCCGGCCGTCGTGCACGTGACAGCGTCTAAACCCCAGGCATTCAGGGGCTTGGCTTCCTCCTCGGTGGTGCTCGTCCCCTCCCTCACCCGTCGCAGAGCAGAGCCAGGCACAGACAAGATGCAGCTGTCTTCTCAAGGGCACCTAGTTCCAGCCTTTGGGCTGTGACCTACAATGAGGAAGACCTCTTCTCCTGGCAGTGTCACACGTGAAGCTGAAACACAGGGTCTCCAGGGCAGCGCTTACCCTGCTCCGTCCCACACGCGCTTGCTTTCCTCGCTCTGTTTCTGGTTCAGTGTCCAGACGAGGCCTTGGCTCGGGCTGGGCTGGCCCTGCAGCTTCAGGATGGGCAGGTGGGGACCTGGGGCCCTGTTACCCCGGTTACCTCGGGCCTCCCAGGCAGAGCCCTTCCCGGGCTTTCCAGGGGAGCATCGCTCTGCGGGGCCTGACTTCTCCACAGAGGCTGCAGTCGGGCACAGCGGGTCAGGGAGGGCGAGGTCAGCGTAGGCCTGCTGTCTGGCAGCCCAGAGAGTGCTGGGGCGGTAATAATAGGTGCCGTCTGGGCGGCACGCGGGCCGCAGAACTGCTGTGTGAGGCCATCGTGGCAGCAGCTGTGGAGCTGGAGGAGGGTGAGGGCGCCCAGTACCTGCGCTGGGTCCTCGCTGCACGAGTGTCACATCTCCGTGCTGCCCTGGGGCTGGGCTGGCCTAGAGCCGGGGCTGCAGTGGGTGGCCCCTGCTCCCCTCCAGATGCCGGCCCAGCTCTGCTCTCCCTCCCAGCCTGTGTGAGGTCTGCGGGCTGCTCTCCTTCGGCTCCGGCTTCCTCCCCTGTCCTAGTATGTTCGAGGACTGGCCGTGGGTGTGGGGTGTGTCATAGCTTGTCCTTCTGTTGCTCGGGAGGGGCCGCTCTACGGTTTGTGTCCTGTCCACGTGGTGGGCGGGCTCCTCGTTGCCGGCTCTTGGCACAGTAAAAGGGCGTGTGAACATCTGTGTGGAAACACGTCCTCGCTTTCTTGGCGGGTTTGGATAAACACCTGAGAGTCGAATTGCGAGTCCAGCGTGAGTGTAAGTTTAACTTTGTAAGAAACTGCCGAGCCATCGTCCACAGCGGTTGTACGTTTTCAGGCCCCAGGGCAGCTGTGAGAAGCCCTCTGCTTGGCGTCCCTGCTGGCAGTCATGCTGGCTTCAGCCACACAGAGCTGGCGGGAGAGGGGCCTCGCTGCGATGCAGCCCGGTCTTGTCCTGTGCTGTCTGTCCGTTCATCCTTCTTCTTTGGTGCAGCGTCTGCTCACACCCACGTCCATCTCTTCCTGGGCTGCTGGCCTGTCGCGTGCATCTGCTCAACCTTGATTCTGGAGACAAGGCAAGGGACCTGCCAGACACCTGTATTGAACCTGTGGTCCACGTTGAGTTCATTTTTGAGTGTGGTGGATTTGGGGTCGAGGTTCTGTAGATATCCAGTTATCGCACTGTTGGTTGAACATGGAATGACCCGGGCACCTCTGTTTTCATGTTTCTTTCAATCTGTGTCTCTGCTTATACAGCCCACACTGTCTGATTACGGAAACTATGAGGCCAGTATTGAAATGAGTGGGGAATCACTTCCTCCTGTTTTCCGAAAGGCTTTCTGTAGAATTGGTATTATTCTTCCCTTAAGTATGTGGCCACCATCTGAGACGGCCTTTCTTTCTCTGTGGGAGGATTGTCACCCACAGTCTCTCTAACAGTCTGTGCCACCCTTGCTGCGGTCCTTCTCGAGCGAGCTTCATTGTTTTGTGTCTTTCAAGGGACTTGCCTGTTTTGTCCAAGTTGTCAGAGTTGCTGGCACGAGTTGTTCCTCGTGTCATCTGAATGCCTGTAGGACCTGTAGTGAGAGCTCCTCCTTCCTTCCTGATGTTGCTAATTTGTTTCTTTTCTGTTTTGTTCTCAACTAGTCTGGCTGCAAGTCTATCAATTTTGTTGATAGTTTCAAAGAGCCAGATTTTTACTTCATCAATTTTCTCTATTTACCCACTTCGATTTAACTGATTTCTGCTGACCTTTATTATTTCCTTTCTACTTTGGGGTTGATTTGTTTCTGTTAGATCATTGACTTGGGACTTTTATCCTTTTCTAATGTCTCTGGTTGGACCCATCGTCCTGAGTGCTACTCTGTCTGATGTCAGTCGTGGCCCCTCCAGCTGTCTCATGATTACTGTTACATGGATGCACTTTCCAATCCTTTACTTTATAAGCCGTATCTGATTTTACACGTGAGCTGGGTTTCTCATGTTCAGCGTGCCGTCGAGTTTGCTTTTGTCCCATCTGACATCTCTGCTGTGGATTGAGTGGTGGCAGCAGTTCACCCTGAGCTTCCGGTGACGACAGAGATGTTCTGAGTCCACACTCCAGCGTGGTCTTTACTGGTCATGAGTGGGCTGTGATGCATGACCCTGCTTTAGGTGGGTTCTCTCTCGTGTCAAAACGTGTGTGTTTGGGGTAAATCTGCCACGTTGATAGTTGCTTCCTTTGTTTCCCTGTGACCCCTCGTCCTTTTTCTCTCTGCCTTCTTCCTTTGGCGTGACCGAGCGTGGTGCAGTGCTCTGTGTTACCTCCGCTGTGCCTTCTTTCTCTGGCGTGACCGAGTGGGGTGCAGTGCTCTGTGTTACCTCCTTCTTTCTCTGGCGTGGCCGAGTGGGGTGCAGTGCTCTGTGTTCCCTCCGCTGTTGGCTTAGGGGTGTTCTGGTTTTGAGCGGCTTTGCTTGGAGTGTGTAACCAGCGTCTTTAGCATCCGTGGCCTTCCCTCGAGGAACAGCCTCGCCTCCTCCTGGTGTGTGAGCTCCTTACAGGACTCCCGTCTGCGCCCCTGCACCCCGCACATACGTCATGTCTAACGCCGTTGGTGCTCGTTTGGCTCCGATGATCTGACTCTGAACTAGGTCAAGAGCGAGACAGGATGTCTTCGCTTGCCCGCACGCTCGCCCACTGCGGTCTTCCGCTCCTCCGGCCGATCCAAGCGTCCTTTGCCCTCCTGAGCTGCTTTCAACATTTCCTGTTCTGCATCTCTGGCTGAAAGAGCTTCTCTCAGCTTTTTTCTGTCTGAGAATCAGTCTTTATTTTGCCTCTAGTTTTGAAATATATCTCCACTGGGTACAGAGTTCTGGTTGACTGATTTTTTTTTCCTTTCTTTTCAGTGCTTAAAGATGTCATTGCGGGGTTTTCTGGCTTCCGCAGTTTCTGAGGCTGCTGTTGCCCTGGGCTGTGCCCAGCAGTGGGGGCTTGGCCCGAGGAGCTGCCCCCTTTGCCCTTCTCTTCGCCCCCCACTGAGCATTGCGGCTCCTGTTCTGTCTCTGAGGCTCTGCTGGACCCCGAGGGGACACAGCTGGGAGGGGGTGGCTCTGCCCAAGCATGGTGGCCCTGGGATCCACCCAGGGACCCACCTTCAGGCTGCGCAGTGAAGATGTGACCTCCCCCTCCTGTCTCCTCACAGCCACCGAGATGGACCTGAGTGACCTCCAGGAGCTGTTCCAGGAGACGTCGGCCAGCGTCTTCCGAATCAACTCCAATGGTGAGTCAGTGCCCTGGCCTCACCCTGCCCTGATCCGGGCCGCGGAGTGCACTGCGGGAGGTTCGGGGTGGTGGCCTCCCGCACTAGGGTGCCCTGTGGCCCGGGCCCTGCTGACGTAGGACAGCGGGGTGGGAGCAGGGCATGAGCCCAGTGCTTTGGGCTCAGGCTGGGCTGTGTCCTCGGCAGGTGCCCTCTTGGGCCCGTTCCTCCCTCCCCCGTCGCACACCTGGGACCTGGGTGGGCCCCCTGGGGAGGAGCGTGTCAGAGCCTCCCTCAGACTGGCAGGGCCGCCCCCTCACAGGTCACCGAGGCTAGGGGTCGGGGCGAGAGCCACAGCCCACGAGGACAGGGCTTGTCCTCCACTCCCTCAGGACACGGGGGCATGGGCACGGGGTGGCCTGGGCTCCCTGTACCCTCGTGGGTGGGAGCTCGCGTTTGCCCTGAACTCGGAGCTCTCCCAGGTCAGAGAGCGCTGACCGGCGGGGAGAGAAGCCCCTCCCTCCCCAGAGCCAGGGCGAGGCCCACTGGGGCAGCTCCCCAGGGCCCCTGAGCCCCACTCGGGCCTGGGCGTCTGTCTCTGGACAGCTGGGGAGAGGGCTGCCCTGGGGCCCTGCTGTGGGGTCTCGGCACCCACGTCCCTGCACAGAGGCAGGCTGGGGGCGCATCCTGGAGGGTGGGGACTGCGTGGTGGAGCCCCGCTGCCCCTGACTCCTGCCCCTTTCTCTCGGCAGTGGCCTTCTTGGAGCAGAGCCTCCGGTCCCTGGGGACGCCAAGTGGCACGCAGGAGCTGCGGGACAGCCTGTGAGTGTGCGTGTGGTGCGTGTGGATGTACACGGATGTGCCCTGCACCCACTCGCATGCCGGCCCATCCACACACCAGCCCGACAGCTGGCTGGGCTCACGTGGGGCCACCCCCAACACAGATGTGTGACACCCATGTAGACACACCTGTGTACAGGTGTGCACTCAGGTGGCGGGACATGCGTCTCTTGCACACTTTTTGCTTCACTGACTGTCCCCACACGTGTCTGCCACACACCAGAGCTCCGGCTGCACCTCCGAGGTCTGGGCCAGTCACCGGTGGGTTTAGCGTTCTCTGCCCTGATGATTCTTGTTGCTTTGGAATTAGCTGTTGTGGCAGCAGGGTAGGGCTTCCTGCTGGCGGGGCTCAGCCCTGCCCTCGGCTCCTTGCATCCCGCAAGTACCCTGGGAAGGAAGGGGGCAGGTAAGGCTGTTCCCCTTCATGGAGGAAGACTCTGAGGCCCCGGGAGGGGCTGGATGTGTGGGTCAAGCTGCACCTCTCTCAGTGGACAGGCCAGAACCCAGCCACCCACTCGTCCGTCCGTCCACCCACCCGTCCTTCCTTCTCTCCGTCCACCCAAGCAGTCTGGGACCACCCCTGCCAAGTCTCGGGGTGCAGAGGCAGGCGACACAGGGCCCTCGGCAGATTTTGTGTGCAATTCTGCTTTAAGTTATTCTTTACGTTTCTTTTTGAAAGTAGCATGTATTGTTTCCTGATGGTGAAAGCAGTGTGTGCTCGTGGGCACTCAGGTAGCCTCCTGCCAGCCTCTTCTCAGGCCCACAGGCGTTTTGTGGAGTCGCGTGTCAGTCACTGATGTCCTGGATCCTACTCGTCACACTTAGGGCTGGGGCTGTGCGTGCCCCCGTCGCACACTGAAGACGTGCCTTTCAGAGGCACAGATGGCGCTGTCGGCTCTGTGTGGTTGTTCAGCTGAGATGCGGGACCGCTCTCGGGCTGGTCCGTCTTCAGCGTCAGGAACGTGCAGTCTGTGTCTGTGCTGCTGCCTGTTTCTGGGTTGGGCTCCCGGAGTGCGGTCCCCAGGGTCAGACAGGTGGCCTTCTCAGAGCCCTGACCCTTGAGCGCGTTTCCTGGGCTGCCTGGTCTGGGGGCTGGAGGATGCCATCACCGATGTGGGTCTGGAGAGGGGAGTGGGCCCTTCCCCGGGCCCCAGCTGCTCCCCACCCGCCCCTGCAGCCTCAGCTTCCAGGTCCACAGCTCGCTGAGTGCCTTCCTGCCCCCCTCCGCCCCTCAGGAACCCCAGCCCTCTGCCCCTCCTCCAGGTGGGGCTGACCAGGCTCCCTAGCCTGTGTGTCCTGGCCTTCCAGAGCCTTCCATGGCCACATATATGGGGGGAATTTGTGCACCTCCCGGACCGTTAGCATTTTTCTTTTTTTCTTTGCGGTACACGGGCCTCTCACTGCCGTGGCCTCTCCCGTTGCGGAGCACAGGCTCCGGACGCGCAGGCTCAGTGGCCATGGCTCACGGGCCCAGCCGCTCCGCGGCACGTGGGATCTTCCTGGACTGGGGCACGAACCCGTGTCCCCTGCATTGGCAGGCGAACTCTCAACCACTGCGCCGCCAGGGAAGCCCGCCATTAGCATTTTTAAATGACTTGAGACAGCATGGAGTTGTCAAGTCTATATTTTCTCCACATTGACAGTCGCCAGCTTTTGTATTTTGCCAAGTAAGGACATTAAAAAAAAAAAGTACGCTACCATCCACTATTGCCATCATATTAAAAAATAAAGATATTTCAGTACTCCTGAAGTAGGCAGGACCTGATCTCAGGAGAAAGAACAGTCTTTCAAATTGAATAAATATAGCTTCACGAGAACCTCACAAGGTTGAACCTGTTTTTCTCATCTTGCGTGAGACAGGCGTGGGCTTTGTCATTTCTGTGAGCCACCGTGAGTGGCTCTGTCCCGCCCCCCAGCACGGGCTCCCAGACTGGCCGAGGTGGCCGGGGAGTGAAGGTGAGGCTCATCGGTGTCAGCCCAGGGCACTGCTGGGCCCCCCCGGCAAGAGTAGCTGAATGGATGGACGGTCCTTCCAGGAGCCCCGGGCAGGAAGTCTGCCCTGCGGCCTCACCTCCCTGCTGGACGTCCTCCAGCTCTGCTCATCTTTTCTGAAATGGTCTTGGCTACTTCCGATTGGTTGTATTTCAACATAAATTTCAGAGTCAGCTTGTCCTTTTCTGATTTTTGAAGCTTGCTCTAATTTTATACGGGGTCACAGTGACTCTGCAGACCCATTTAAAGAGAACTGGCCTCGTAGGGAACCTGAGTCTTCCTGGCCATGAACGTGGTCGGCTTTCGTCTCATTTACAGGTGTTTTTTTTCCAGCAGTTCCTTGTAGGTTTTAGTGCACTGGTCTTGCGTGTATTTTGTTAAATTTATGGTAATGATTTCATATGTATATATTTTAAAATTAATTAATTAATTAATTTATTTTTGGCCGTGTTGGGTCTTCGTTGCTGCGCGCAGGCTTTCTCTAGTTGCTCCGAGCGGGGGCTACTCTTCATTGTGGTGTGCAGGCTTCTCCCTGCAGTGGCTTCTTTTGTTGTGGAGCCCGGGCTCTAGGTGCGTGGGCTTCAGTAGTTATGTCTCGCGGGCTCCAGAGCACAGGCTCAGTAGTTGTAGCTAATGGGCTTAGTTGCTCTGTGGCATGTGGGATCTTCCTGGACCAGGGATCGAACCCGTGTCTCCTGCATCAACAGGTGAATTCTTAACCACTGCACCACCAGGGAAGTCCCTATATTTTTATACTGTTGTAAGAAGTATTGTTGCTTAAATTTCATTTCCCATTTTTGGTTCCGCTACATGGAAATACAGCTGATTCTGTTTATCGCCTGTGCCCTGTGCCCTCGTTAGATTCCATATTCCCTAGGATTTTTCTACATAAATGAACCTGTCGTCTGTGACAGAGGCTCTCCCACTTCTTTGTTTTAAATCTCTGTGCTGCTTACCTCTTTCGTCCCGTTACAATGTTGTAACCGTGTCCTTTTATAGCTAGAATGTCATAAACCTATAAAGTTCCATGTGGAGGTAGGCAGTCCTGGAAGTGTACGCCTGTGCCGGTGCCCGTTCGGGGGAGCCGCCCGCCTGTCCTGGCAGTGACAGGAGGCTGCTTTGTCTTTACAGTCTCTCTTCAGCAAGTTGATCACCTTCCCTTCTCTTTTCTAGTTTTCTTAGAGCTTTTGTCATGAATTCTTGTTGAATTTTGTCGGATGCTTTTTCTGCATAGTTTATTGAGATGATTTTCTCCCTTTTAAATTTGTTCTGTTAGTATGAGGATTACATTAATTGATTTTGGATGTCAGACCAACCTTGCGTTCCTTGGACGATGTTATCCTTTTTGTATGTGGTTGGATTCAAGTTTCTAATATTTTGTGCAGGATTTTTGCTGCTCTGTTATGTGACTTTTGCTGCTCTTTGCTTTTAGATTCTTTGTTTAGGTTTTGGTATCAGGGTAATGCTGGCCGCGTAAAATGTAAGTGTCCCTTCTTGTCTGTTTTCTGGAGGACTCTATAGTATTGATATTACTTCTTTAAATATTTGATGGTGAAGTCGTCTGTATCTGTAGGAATGTTTTCGAGAACAAATTTAATTCCTTCAGTAGGTGTAGAGCTGTTTAGGTTTTCTGTTTCTTCCTGAGTCAGCTTTGATAATTCTTGTCTTTCAAGGAATTTTTCTTTTTCATCTTAGCTGTCAAATTTATTGGCATTTGGGATTCATAATATTTCCTTATCTGGGTGTGACAAGGAGGGAGGGCTCTGTGGCGCCAGCGACCACGTGACCAAATCCCGAGGGGAAACGCGGCGTGTGTCCCTGCTGTTTCCTGTGGCCTCCGGGCAACCTGGGAGGAAAGGGTCCCTGCACCACGTCCTCAGCCCACGCCCCCTTAGGTTGGTGCAGAGTCTCCTTCCTATGCCACCCCCATCCCCCTTTCCGCATGCCGCAGCTCCGTGTGACCCAGGGGCCAGCGTCGGGGCCTGGGGCCTGCCCGTGCCTCCCGGGGCGTCCACCTCGGCAGACGGCACCCGGCTCCGTGGGTGGCCTGTCCGGAGCTTCCCATGTTCAGCCCAGGGTGGCCTGGTGCCGATGCCCGCTGCTGCCACGTGGGGGTCCCACAGGGGGCAAAGGGGGGCATCTGCGCTGCAGCTTGAAGGTCGGGAGGGTCTCTGGTGTCTGCGCCCCGTAGTCAGGCCAGGGCCCTTCCCTCACTTGGGCCTGTGAGCCCGCAGGAGGCCTGAGGACAGGGTCTGTCCTGTGTCACTCCATCCACAGGGGCAGTGGTCAGCCCCAGGCGGCGAGGGGCTGGTCTTTTCAGCACCTTCAAGGTCACACTCAGAATCGTAAACTGAGGGGCTGGGAGAGGCCCTGGGCCCGGCCTCCCCCTGTTCCTGGGCCTGGAGGTGGGAGTCTCACCGGGGCCCCCAGAGGCCTGGGGGAGGGCTGGGCTTTCCTCAGCGGTGGTCCCAGGGCCACCTCTGCAGCCATCGTGCTTCCTGGGCCCCGACCGGTGCTGACCCACAGCGGCCTTTCCACAGGGAGGGCTCATGGCTGGGGCCCCGGGGGTGCAGCTACCGCGCCCGTGGCTTGGGTATGGGGTCCATGGGGGCTGGGAGGTGAGGGGCCTGGTGACGCTGACCTGAGTTCACCGTGTCATGTCATTTCCCCCCTCCCCCCACCTCGCCTGCCCCCCTCCCGTGTCCGTCCCTCCCTGGGCCTATCTTTACGTCCTTCCCGTCTGTTCCCTTTTTCCTCTGCACGACTCCTCCTTTCCTGTGCACTTGCCCGTCCCTCCGCGAGCCCGCCACCTGCCGTGCTGCCCTTCTGTGTCATCCCCCCTTTCTGCTGCCCGCCCCCTGGTCTTCTCTCCCCTCCACACCCACTCCAGGCACACGGTGCAGCAGCAGACCAACCACGCGATCGCAGCCAGCACCAGTGCCCTGAAGCAGATGGCTGAGCTCCTGCGGGGCTGCTCCCGGGTATGTTCGCTGGGGGCCGGAGGGGGCCAGGGCCCGGGGCGCGGGTGGGGAGACAGATGCTGGCCACGCGGCTGCTCGGGGCAGAGGTCGCGCGTTCCTCTGTTCACCGGGCCGTGGGCCGGGCAGCGGTGCAGGTGCCGTGGGCTCCCGGCCTCCTGGGCAAGAGTGCCCTGTCCCCCTGCCCTGCTCTACGTGCCCCTCACCCACCTGCCACCTCTACGTGTGCCCTTCCTGCCACTGCACTCACCGTCGGCCTCCTCAGCGTGGTCACGGCCACTGCATCCCAGACCACGGCCCCTTCACAGCCCCCATGTCCCCGCTGCCCCTCCCCACTGGCCTCTCACGTGCCCTCCAGCCCTGGCCGGCTGTCTGTTATCCACACCCTACCTGCTCCCCCAGAGGTTGGGGGAGCCCAGAGCATGCAGTGTTGTTAAGCCCTCGCGGCTTACAGAGCAGGGGCCTGTTTTCTTCAGTGAAGCTTGTTTGTTGCCCATTCGTTTACACGTGGCCCAGGGCTGCCAGCAGCTACAACAGCAGAGACCCACCTCCAAATCCTAAAAGCTGAAGTGTGGCCCCTCGCAGAGAGGCCCTGCCTCTGGTGAGGAAGACTCAGGCCCCGTGGTGAGCCCCGCGGGCGCCGTCCAGCAGTGGGCGGGCGTGGACCACTGATGCTGCTCAGCCTGGGCGAGCACAGCGCTCCCGCGGGGTGAGAGGAGCACGTGTGTGTTCTGTTCGTCCCAGGTGCCCGGAGGTCCCTTTGGAGACAGAAAGCAGACGTGGGGACTGGTCTCAGGAGGACACAGAGGGCTTTGGGGGTGATGGAAATGTTCTAAAACCAGGTGCTGGTGACGGTTGTACAACCGAAGCTTACACTTAAGGTGAACTGTACACTTAAGATAGATGGATTTTTACCTAATAAAGTAGACCCAGCTCGAAAACTTGAGTTACACTTTGATTAAAAAAAAAAAAAGACACTTAAAAAAAGTCCTAGGATCAGGGGTCAGGTGTCCCTGCATGGCGTGGGCAGGGTCCCGAGGTCTCAGGTGGAGGAAGCACTCAGAGCTTTGCTGGGAGTGACGGGCACTGTTCTGCATGCGATATAACAATCCCAGCCTGGTCGTCGGGACCAGAGGCGGGCGCCTGGTCCTGGCCTTCGCCCAGGGTTCACGCAGCACAGGGCAGCGTCTGCAGCGGTTCTGAGGCCTTGGTGTTCATGGGCCTGTTCACGTGTGGCCTTGTGATGCATGTCCCCGGCTCTGTGTATGTCACGAGGGCTGGAAAGCAGAGTTGACCCCCTTGGGAGTTCAGAGGGCTCACTTTTAGCCTAATATATCCTTCCTTCTTTCCATCCGCCCACCCACCAGCCCCCCGTCTGTCCATCTGTCCCTCCATCCATTTCCCTGCCTGTCCACTGACTTACCCAGCCACCTACCCACCCACCCATCCATCTGAGAACCAACAAACATTTATTGCACACCTACTCTGCCAGATGCTGGGAGAACACAAGTGAGGTCCTGCGGGAGGACGTCTTGTCCAGGGGGGCAGCGTGGGTCACTGCTCTCGCAGGGAAGAGAGGCTGAGCCCGTCACCTGGAGCTGGTGCTGGAGCACGTGGGCTGCAGAGCTGGAGATGGTTTGCTCAAAAGCACTAAATGGCCCCTTGGGCCCTTAGGTCTGTCCCGGGGCATACATATGGTGCCAATTATAAGAGCCTTACCTGGACACTGGAACAGACTCCACAGAGCTGTGAGGCCCAGACACTGCCAAGTGCCCTGGAAGGGCAGGTGTTGGAGAGCTGGTCTCCCGAAACGCGCCTGGCCTGCTGGTGCCCCGTGGCTCCTTCTCACCCATGGGCTTGCATGGGGTGCATGGTGGCAGTGAGGGCTGGGTTCTGGGACTTGAGACGCAGGGTCTGGGGAGTGTCCAGGGCCCTCCTGGGAGCTGACAGGAGGTGCTGGGGGCAGGAGGGGACCAGGAGCCTGTGTCCGCGTCCTGGTCCAAGGACCCTGGGACTGGCGTGGCTCCATTGGTGCTAGTGCTGTGTGGTGAGAGAGGAGGGGCTGTGGCTCCTGATGGCCTGGCGGTGTCAGGGTCCAGGGCTTGCTTGCCTGTTCCCTCGTTTGTCAGTGTGCCTTGAGTGCTGGCTCTGTGCCGGGTTTCATCCTTGACGCTGGGGTGCAGAGACGAACGAGAGATGAGGTCCCATTCCAGCAGGAGGACAGAGGCCGTTTGTGAGGGCTGAGGTGCTGGGGGCAGGATGGATGGTTTGCCGACCGCAGTTCTGATGCTGGGGATGAGATGCAGCCTCACCGCCTGTGTGACCTTGAACAGGCCACTTAGAACTTGTGCCCAAGATCTCCTGAGCTGCTAGGTGGGGATTGTAACACCTCTCACCCGAGTAGTTTGTTTTGGGGACAGGACAGGCATATCACGTTAGAGCGGCTGGCCCCGAGGTCAGTATTGATGATGCCTGTGGTTTGGGTGGAGATGGTGTTCACGGTGATGCTGGCTGAGCCCGTGGAGCCCTTGCTGGTGTTTGAGGTGATGGAGATGACGGCACCGGCTGATGAAGATGGGGATGAACCCAATTTTAATGGCAGAGGGGGTGGTGACGGCCGTGAGGCTGGGGATGGATGGACGGGGACGCTGTGGTGCAGGTGCTGCCAGGAGGGACGGGAGGGGCACAGGAGCATAGTGAACTGAAGTGCCCAGGGATGGAGGGGCCGCGGGGGCAAGATGAGGCCTCGGCAGCCTGTTGAAGCCGCCCCCCACTCTTTGCAGCAGGAGCGTCTTCAGCTGGACCGTCTGAAAACTCAGCTTTCAGACGCCATCCAGAGCTATGGAGTGGTGCAAAAGGTGAGGCCCCTGCAGGTCCCCTGAGCACCCACTCTGGGTCGGCCTGGTACAGCCCCACCCCCCAAAGCAGAGGAAGGGCCACCTTGCAGACGTTGGATAATTGCCAGGATCTGGCTGGTGGGACCACAGCATGCGTGCAGGCGAGGGATGTTTACCTCTGGAGCGCTGCCTAAGAGGGTCCTCCTGACAGCCCCGTGGGAGGTGGGAGAACAGGTATCACCCATCCTTCCACACCCGCCCGAGGATGTGGGAGGAAGCCATCGAGCCGATCAGCCCCCAAGCCCAGCCAGGCTCCCAGTTAGAGTCCTGGGGCAGCTGAAGGTGTGCTTTGCTGTGTCATCGTCCAGTGCTTTGTGTTTATCTGACTGTTTCTTCTCTTTTCCCCACCTTTTCTGTTCTTCCCGTCTCCCTTTTCTTGTACTTTATCCAACAGAGAATTGCAGAAAAGTCCAGAGCACTGCTTCCCACAGCACAGAGGGTTGGCAAGCAGCAGGTGGGTGCTGAGTATTTACCTGGCCAGGGGTGTTAGAGGAAGCTTAGAATCCGGTGCCACTGGGGCTCCAGGGAAGGGCGGGGAGGACCAAGGTCCTACCGTATGGCACAGAGAACTGTAGTCAGTATCGTATGATAAACCGTAATGGAAAAGAATATAAAAAATAATGTATACATGTATAACTGAATCACTTTGCTGTACAGCAGAAGTTAACACAATATTGTAAATCAACTAGACTTCAATAAAAATGTAGGTAAAATAAATAAAATAAAATAAAATAATGAATTAAATATCCTTAAAATAGAAAAAGAAATTGACATTTTACCCTCAGGTCTCTGGCATGGGCTTGATACAGGGAAGTGCTTGCTGACAGTTCTACCTACTGTACAGGACCAACTTGTATTAGACCAACCCTCCTGTGAGTAGGAATGATAGAAAATCCAGTAAAGAGTGTAATTGGAGTCCTAGATGAACAGGGGAGAGAGAGAATGGACAGAAACAATATTTGAAGAGGTAATGGTTGAGAATTTTTCAAAACCGTCCAAATACTTCAAGCCACAGATTGAAGAAGCTCTATGATGAATAGGATAAAGTTATCCTGTTTCTTAAAGCTACGCTTAGTCACATCATAATAAAAACTTGAAAACCAAAGACAAAAATAAAATCTTAAAAGCAGATTAAAGCCAGAAAAAAAATCTTAGATGCCCAAGAAAAAGTCACATTATTTTTAAAAAAGCAATGAGACTTACACTGGACGTTTTAAAAGAAACAGTGGAAACCAGAGGACAGTTGAAAGAAAATAACTACCAACCTGGAATTCTATATCTGGTGAAAATATTTTTCAGAAGGAAAGGTGAAATGAAAACATATTTAGAGAAACAAAAACTGAGAGAATTCATCAGCAGAACTCTCTAAAAGTAGAAGAAGGAAGATAATCCCAGATGGAAGCATAGTAATGGAGGAAGGAATTATGGGCACTGAAAACAATAAAATGTGGATACACCTAAATCCATGTTGACTGTTGAGTAATAATAATAATGACTTGTGAGGCTTAAGATATGGGGCAAATGAAAATACTTGCACAACAACAGCACAGAGGACATAAAGGAGGTAAATGGTGTTAAGGTACTGTAATGTCCTTGCGTCATCAGAGAAGAGACAAAAATACCAACGTAAGGTAGGCTGTAATAATCCAGGGATGCATATTGCATTGTGGGTAATACTAAAAGGACAATGCAGGAATAGACAGTGTAACATAAATAGAGAGGTACTTATGAAATAATAAAACAAATGCTTAATTTAAAAGCAAAAAAAAAAAAAAAGAAATCAACACAAAACAGGAAAAAATAGGAAATAAATTGTAAGATGGTTGATTTATACCACTTATGCTAAGCTAAAATGGACTAACCCTTCCAATTAAAAGGCACAGATGGTCAGACTTGGTTAAAAGAAAAAAGCTGTGTAGTGCTCAGAAGAGTCAAACCTTAAATATAAATCCAGAAAAATGTTGAAAGTAAAAATATGGAAAAAAATATGCTGTGCAACCAAAAGCTAAAGAAAGCTGGTACAGCCATGTTAATATCAGAGTAAGTAGACTCCACATGGGGAGTTCTCAGTGGGCATACAGAGGTATATTTTGTAAGGATAAAAAGTTAGTTCAAATGGAAGACATAATTTTAAATTTATATGTACCTAACAATATACCCTCAAAAATAGAAATATAAAGCAAAACTGATAGTAGTAAAAGGAAAGCTAGTAAATCCACGATCACAGTCGGAAATTATGACACACCACTCTAAATGACTAATAAAATAAATTGAAAAAATTCAGGAAGGATATAAAATATTCAAGCAATACTACTGATTAATACACTGACCTAATTGATATTTATGACACTAAGAGAATATACACATAATGCATATGCTGGATGGTAAAGCAAGTCTCAGCAGATTCTAAATGACTGACATAATACTGAATATGTTCTCTAACCAGAGTGCAATTAAACTAGAATCTGGTAACAAAATTCTCAACACCAGGGGTTGAGAATTTAAAGAATATAATTTGAAATAACCCATGGATCAAAGAAGAAACCCTAGTAGAAATTAGAAATAATCTTGAACTGAACAAAAATGAAAATGCAAGAAATTAAAGCTTATGGGTTGCAACTAAAGCAGTGCTTGGAGGGAAGTTTATAACTTTAAACACATATATTAGAAAAGAAGCACGTGTGAAAATTAGTGATCTAATTCTCAATCTCAAATGGCTAGAAAAACAACAAAAAATTAAATCCAAAGAAAATATATAGGAAAAAGCAGAAACCAGTGAAAAATAAAATAGATGTACGATAGACAAATTCAACAAAGCCGAAGGTCGGTTCTTCAGAATGATTAATAAAATTGTTAACCCACAAGGTTAATCGAGACACAGAGAGAAAATACAAATGACTAGCATCAGTAATGAAAACGGCTACATCATTATAGCTTCTAAAAACTAAAAAAAAAAGTAATAAGATACTGTTAGCAACTTCATACCCATAAATTTGACAACTTACATGAAGTACAAGTTTTTAAAGAAAAATGTGACCTCCCAGGATGTGTAAAAAATCTGGAAAGTCCAGTATTTATTAAAGAAATGAAATCCATAATTAACAAGCATCCTAGCAATAAAACTTCAGACTAGATGGCTTTACTGATGAATTCTCCCAAATATTTGAGGAATAAATAATACCAGTTTACACAAACTCTTATATAGAATATAAAAAGAGGGTATACGTCCCACCTTGCTTTATGAGGCTAGTAAATGGAAAATAACGTGCTGTCTCACGAGCATAGAAGCAAAAATCCTAACCAAAATGTTAATAAGCTAAGTCTAGCAATATATATAAAGGTAATACATCATTATAAAGTAGGATTTATTCTAGGGATGCAAGGTTGGTTTACATTCAGAAATAATCAGAGTAATTTACCATGTTAATTCAGTAAGAAAGAAAATCTATTTGATCATCTCAATAGACACGGAAGAGCATTTGGTAAAATTCAGCACCCACTTAGGGGGACTCAAAACTTTCCGCAAACTAGGAGTAGATAGGAATGCCTTTAATCTGATAAAGGGTACCTGCAAAAGTCTAACAGCAGCACACTCACTGGTGAGATATTAAAATCTTTTCTCCTGAGAGTGAGGAGGAGACATGGTGTCCAGTATTATTGCTTCTATTCTCCATTGCACTGAGGGCATATCCAGTGCAATAAGAGATGAAAAAGAAATAAAAGGTTTAAAATTGGGGAGGTTTAAAACCCCTTCACAGACAACATGATTGTGTAACTAGAAAATGTGAATGAATCTGATGAAACTTGAGAGTTCGTAAGTGAATGTAACAGGATTTCTGTTATCATGTCAGTGTGCAAGAAAACATTGTGTGTGCCAGCAAAAGACAATTTGGAAATGATACTTAAAAAGTGATAGCATTTATAATAGCATCAAAACTAGGAAGACATCCATTACCAGTTGTTGAAGCTTCTATATAGAAAACTATAAAACATTACTGAGAGAAATTACAGAAGATTAAATAATGGAGGGGTACACCATATTTGTAGATTGGAAACTTTGATGTATAAAGATGTCAGTTCTCACCAAGTGGTTCTGTAGGTTCAATACAATCCAAATAAAAATCCTAGCCGGTTTTGAATATGTGTTTGTATATGACGCGTGTGTAAATTGTCAAACTGATCATAAAATCTATATGGAAATATAAAGACCCCCGAATAATGAAGACAGTTTTGAAGAACAGAACTGAGGGTTTACATTCCCAGGTATCAGAACACAATATAAAGCAATAGAAATTGGAACAGTGTGGTATTTGTTGAAGGCTAAGCAAACAGACCAGTGGGATCAGAGTCGCATATAGATGCAGACTCACACATACGTGATTACCTGGTTTGTGGGAGGTGCACTGCCACGCAGTGGGAGGCACAGGATTTGCACAGGACTTGATGCTGATTGGCTGATGGTTGAGCTGGGAAAGGTCCTGTTGAGCACACGGCAAGTACAGGTCCGAACACCCCGCCCACTGCATCTTGGTGTCAGAGTGACTGAGGAGCGAAGGGCAGGATGTCCACACGAGGCGACAAGCCAGCTCAGGCTGTGAGTACCCTCTCAGCCAGGAAGTGCTGCGGGCCCAGGGCCATCGCTCTGTGGCTGGGAGGGGGCTGGAGCACTGCTGGCACAACAGATCCTTCACCCCGGTTCACCCAGGCTCAGAACACTTCCCTGGATCACACATCTAAATGTGAGTGGTAAGGCAGTGAAGCTTCTAGAGGCTACCATAGGAGGCTGTCTTCCTCCCACACAGATGAAAATGTACTTACTATAAAGAAAAAGTGATAAACTTGACTTTGTTACAGTCTGTACAACCCTCAGAGAGCGAAGAGGTGACCCGCAGAGTGAGAGAAGGCATTTGCACATCACGTATCTGAAAGGACTTCATAATGTGTAAAGATCTCTTACAAATCAGTAGGAAAAAGACAAACAATTCAGAAACATAAAAGGGCAAACACCCTGGGGCATGCACGTTCAAAAGGGACGTCAGCATGGCTGGTAAGCACGTGGGTGTGTGCTCAGCACGTGTCATTAGAAGCAGGCAGAGTTAACCCACGATGCTGCATCTCTGCACACCTCACCCCCACCAACACGACTAAAAAGAACTAATGAAAATGCAGGAGCGCGCCGAGTGCCGGCAGGGCTATGGGGCAGCCGGAGACCTTGTGCAGTAGACGGGAGTGTGAGTGGTGCCCCCGCTCTGGTAGCTGAACACACCTGGGGAGTGAAACGTCCTGTCTGTGGCCTTGCAGCTCCACCTTAAATGTATACCCAGTGAAAAGTCACATAGAAGAACGCTGAGCACACGTGACATACAGCAGCAGACACCTGGGAGAGAGCCAGCCTGCGGTGGGATGGACAGCATTTGTGCTGAGTCCGTAAATGGGAGACTGTGGCAGCAGAAGGGTTGTGCTGTGGCCAGCAAGGCCCCGGTGACACCTCGGACACACGCCGAGCCCAAAGAGGATAGAGGTCAAAACCGGACCAAACCAACGGGCAGTTAGAAGCCCCTACCCTTGGTAGGGGACAGCATGATGAGGAGGAGGCTGGAATGTCCGTATCTTGACCGGAGTCTTCCTTTTGTTGCAGTTCACAGACCGATCTACACTTGGGATTTGTGCATTCAACTACGGATGTCCTATTTCAGTAGTTTTTCTTAGAAAGAGGAAGACAGTGGTCAACAGTGCTTCTGAGAAGTTATGAAAGATTAGATTATTTCCAGGAATTTTGGAAGCTGTAGTTGATGAGATGATACACTGCAGGATTCAGCCCGGGGGTGTGGCCGCATTGATGATCCGGACTTCCGGGCCGTCATCTGCGGACCGGTGGTCCTGGTCCTGGCAGGAGCAGGGGTGGCCGCTGCCTGCTGGCTCTCCTCTGAGCTGAGTGCTGGGTGTGGCTGTGAGCAGGGGCAGGTTGGCTTCTCTGGAGTCAGCCTTCTTGGCTGTTGTCGGCCGCAGCCTCAGCTGGGTCCTGGGTCAGTCTCCTACCCAGGCCTAGGCAGTGGGCAGCCGCCAGGTGCTTCTGGGCTGGCCTCTGTCCCAAGGCAGGGCTGTGCCTGTCCAGCGCTGGGAACACTCCGAAGTCTGCATTGCCGTCGCCAGCTCGGTGTGGGTTCACCAGAGCCCCGTGCTCCCAGCAGCAGCAATAAAGACCACCTCACCTCTACGTCTGCTGGGAAGTACCCTAGTTGCGGTCCCCGCCAGGCGCAGGGCGGGCTGGCCCTGCCCCTGGGCCCCAGCGCCTTTATTTACTATGGGGCCAGGGAAGGATGGCGACAGTCACGCCTGTTCTGTGTCCTGGGCTTTACTGAGCCTCCAGCCTTCCGTCAGCTCACACACACAGCCTTTTGCTGTTTGGAGAAGTGGATGACCAGCCTCGGGCTACTACGCAGAAGCTGTGTTTCCCAAGTGTGCGACCAGCTCTCGTTCTGTCGTTCTGACGCTTGCCCTCCCGCCGAGGTCACGGGCTTCCCATGCAGAGCCCTGGGCCGGAATTGGCGAGACAGTGGCCCGTTTCCCAGAGCCCCTGAGAGCCCTGGGTCGCTGCTCACTGGCCCTGGGTGGGGGGCCACGCTGAGCCCCCGCCACGCGCCCTCCTGGCCTCCCTGAACCCCCATCGGGCTCCATCTCTTCTCACGGGAAACCGCTGGGCCCGCCCCCCAGCAGTCTCGTTGGACTGTGGGCTTCTAATGGACGTGTCGGAACGGAACCCAAGCCCTGGGCCTTGGAGCAAAGAGAAAGCCGCCTTTGTTGGCTGCCCCGCAAGCTGGAAAGCCATCACACGGCTATCCCTTGCGCTGCGGCCCCAGCGCCCACCCTGCCAGCACATCCTAATCCTGGCTTCAGAGCTCAAGACCCACATTGAGGCTTTGTGAGGAGAATAAAGGGTGCTTTCTGATCCTTACAGGAGGGGGGCTGCGGCGGGATCAGCCCTCTCTCCCTCCCTGCTCACTTGTCCTGAGCCGCTTGGGGAAGGCGGCCGATACCTGTGGAGGCCAGGCGCCGTACCCACGCCTGCAGGGAGGCCGGCACCCTTTGCTTCGGCTTTCTGGAGCTTCCACGGAAACCCAGACTCCAGGAGGCTTCACGCGACACCCGTCGTGTCACTTCTGCACCATAGTGTCTGACTCACTTTCAGCTGGTCCGTGGTGCTCACTGCAGGCTGCGCCCCCGTGCTCCTGCCCACCCCCTGCTGGTCACGTTGTGCTTTACAGCAGAGCTGCAGTGGGCGTGCCCCTGGGTGCGCGGGCCAGGGCTCTTCCCACGGGGGCTGTTAGGTTTGCCAGGGAGGCCTTTAGAAGCCCCTGTCCAGGCGGTGCCCCAGGCCAATGGAGTCAGGTGGGTGGGGGGCCGGCGTCAGTGCAGCTCAGGGCTGGGTGTCCTGTTCTGGAGCAGCTGCTGCTGGGAGGGGTGCACTGTTGGGGTCCCCCGCAGGCACGCGTGTCCTGTGCCCTGTAACTCACTTGCCCGGGGACGGCTGGCCCTGCGTGGCACCTGACCTGGGCTTTCCATTGGCATCTCGTTTTCACGTGTGCTCCCTGGTCAGTGCCTCTCCTGCATCCCAGTCACTTCTTTATGTGACTCTGGGACGTAGGCGGTATCGGCCCCGTCTTAGGGAAGCGAAGGCTGAGGTTGGAGAAGGTAAGGACCTCGGCAGTATCACACAGCTAGTAAGCGGCAGAGCCGAGCTTTCTCGGTCCCTCCCCGCCTTGGACTGAGGGCATGGGATCAGCGAGGGGGACCAGATGCCGCGGCTCCTGCTGGGAGTGAGGGGTGTGCTGGGCAGCACGGGGAAGGGACGGGACAAGGGGTGCAGACAGCACAGCTGCTGTGTGGTGAACACAGGCCAAAGGCCTTGGGCGCGGGTCACTCTTCCCGTTCTGTGGAGGAGAACGCTGAGGCCCTGAGAGTGTGCCGCTGGCCCGACGGTGCCAGTGCTGGGCCGGAACCTGACTGGGCTTTGCAGCCTAGGCGGGGCCTGGGAAGCGCAGAAGGGGGGCGGTGGAGGCGCGCGGCCTGGCGCGGGGCCAGCCCGCACCCCGCTGCTGCCCGCCTGGCACTGCTCACTTCCTCCCGCCCACACCGGGAAGGGAGGTGGTGACTGCCGCCTTGGACGAGGAGCGCCCGTCAGCAGAATTTGTGGATCTTTTATTCTGTGTTCACGTATCCACGTATTTATTTATTCAAAGGCCTCTGCTGACGGTGGGGACGAGGTGCTGCGTGTATCGGTGTGGTCTGTAGGGAGAGTGCCAGCCTTGGGAGGAGGACGGGGTGTGTGCGGACGCATCCCTCTGTGACCGAGGGGAGCGTGCCCACCCTGTGGGGGCTCGAGCAATGGAAAGGGTGGCATCCGGTGTGTCCCCTTTCCTAGGCGCAGTCACACGTGGCTTTCCAGTGCCTTGCGCCCGCCTGTACTGGCGTTTGTCCAAGTGCCCCAAGGTTCTTTTTTGTGCCATTTGCTGCTTTTGGTGCCCAGATGAGTATGTGTGGGCAGTGTTCATCCGCTCCACTGCACCGCAGGCCAGGCCTGCGGTGGCCATCGTGGGCCCCAAAGTGCAGGAAAGAATGTGGACACTAGACTGTGTTCTTTTCCTGCTGACCCGCGGGGCCTCCTGTAGGCGGTGTGGCAGGGCCCGCAGGGAGCAGGGTCTGCTGGGAGGACAGGCACAGAGACTGTCCTGTGGAGCCGAGTGGACCCCTGGACTACCCGCCCGCCCCCCCCACACACACCCAGAGTCACTTCTCTGGCGTCAGTGTGGCCAGGACTGCCATGTGACCCTGAGCTGCACAGGGCATGGGAAGGTGGTCTTCATTGCAGGCAGACATCAGGGGCCTGTAACAAAGGGGAAACAGAAAATAGGCAAGTGGCAGCGTCTGCAGCCTCCTTCCAAGGTGACCGACGCCAAGTGTTCTGGGGATGTGACAGAGGGCCGTTCCGTGGGCGACGGCAGTCCTGTGTTTCAGCCCCGTCCCCGCTGCCCAGACACCTGTAGGAGGGGCTCAAGAAGAGCGGCAGCCGTCCCCCCGTCTGTCTGTGCGCCCAGCACTGACCTCTGCCTCCAGGGCAGTGTGTCCCCGGGCCGGGAGGAGGGCGTGTGGTCAGCATTGTGCCGGCACCGTCCTCTCTCCTGGTCTGTGGTTCTCGCCCTGGAGCTCCCTGTGCCAGGTGGGAGCCCGGAGCCCTGCTCCACTTCCCGGCTCTTCTGGGTTCCTTGGCCTCTCGGCCTCTGCGGCCTCATCTGTAAAGTGGGCTCCTGGCTGCTCCCTGCAAGGATGTTGGGAGCGTCAGAGACAGCGGCTCCAAGGAGCTTCGACACACGTGGGAGGTGAGGGGCACTGGTGGGCAGGCTGCCCTCCTGGGGCTCTGCCCGTCCTCTGTGCCTTCTCCTCTTGCTCTGGTCATCACGACAGGCCTGGGGGAGCGGGGCTGAGGGGAGTGCGTGTGCCGTTATCTGTCTTCCTGGGGGGGTGCCGTGGGGTGCAGGTCAGTAGCCTTTGCTGCTGAAAATTTGCAGGTAAATTGGAAGCATTGTTCGTGTGAAGCCATGGCTCTGGGAGGAGGGGTATCCCTGGCTCCTGCTGTCTCATCTCTGTGGGGATTGGGTAGGCGCGGCCCCCCACTGGCACCCCACTCCCCACTCGGGACTGGCACCTCAGGGGTGGATGTCAGCTCACTTGTACCCAGGTTGTTCCCTCAGGGGACAGATAGAATTCATTAAAGGGAGAAGCTGCTAGTTTTATTGCATTCGAAAATTTGGTGAATTAAAGGAATCAGTAAAGGATAAGACAACTTGAAAACCCCCCTCAGGCTTTCCTTCCCCGTGATCTGGTCCCAGCTGGGGCGGGTCTGTGCCCTACTGGGTGACGTCCATGCTTCGGTTTCCACGGCCCCTGCCCGGCAGCTGCACTTGGTCTGTAACCAGCTCTGGGATGGGCTTCCCAGGGGGGCCACAGCCCCCCGACGAATAGCTGGGGTTTGTGTGCTTGTAGGGACATTTCCTGGGGGCTCATGAAGAGGCTTGTGACCCCTCGAGAGCTGGGAACGTGGCGGCTGTGCTCTGCAGGGTCTTCTGTGTGGCCCTGGCTCTGGGGGGCTGTGGGGTCCTGCCGAGTGCTCCCCGCAGCCAGGCCTGGGACGGCCACAGGGCCCAGTGTCTGCCCACCATCTACGGCAGCCCCAGCACCCGGGACCCTGTGGGGACGTCCCTCGAGTGACAGGGTGGAGCCCGCCCCCCCGCCCCTTCAGGGCTGCAGGCTGGGGGCTCCTGGGTGCCTGCTGAGAGCTCGGCCTGGTGGCAGCGGGCTGTGCGTGCGGGTAACCTTGGTCTGTGTCTCGGCAGAGTCCCCAGGCCCCATTTGCCGAGCTGTCCGAGGATGAGAAGATCTTTAACGGGGGTGACGGCGTGTGGCAGGCCCAGGGGCAGGCGCTGCTTCCAGAGATCACCGAGGAGGACCTGGAGGCCATCCGGCTGCGTGAGGAGGCCATCCTGCAGATCGAGGTGCGGGCTGGCGTGCGCACGCGTGCGTGCATGTGTGTGTGCCCATGGGTGTCCCCGGCTGCCGTGGCGGCTCTCGGCGCTCCAGCAGTGGAGACTGGGCCGGCCCTTTGGTGGTGCCACTGCTCTGTGACCAGCAGACTGAGGCCCGCCCCCTGCCCGAGCCCAGAGGGGCTGGACCTGGGCTCCCAGGGCATTGCCTGAGCTTGGCCACCTGGGCCGCCCAGTGGAGAGAGGGAGTCCAGGGAACCCAACAGCGTCTCACCCTGTGTCTCATCGCCCTGCCCCCTGTGTTTTCCTAGTGGACTCAGCCCTCTGGCCACGTGGTGGCACGTGCCAGTCTCCGTGGCTGCTTCCTTCACTGCACGCTTAGGTTTCCAGGAAGCCATTTCGCTCTGATGAGGCCATTCAGCACCCAGTTAGTTCCAGTGGATAGTTTTTGAGTGGTTGAGTGAACTGCCGAGAGAACTGAACCTGTAATTTGGGGTGGCTGCCAGCAGGTGGCGGTGGTGTTGTCAGTGTCTGACCATGGGGTGTGGGGGGCTGCTAGTTCTTTGTTCTTCTCAAGTTTGCATGTGTGTAATACGTGCTGCCAGATGTTTTGCTGGCCATGGATGACCTGTGACAACTGCCAGAGGTGTGCAGTTCCCTGAGATGGACCTGTGGGAGCAGGTGCCTGAGTGGGTGTGCCAGTATGTGGGTGGGTGTGCAGGTGCAGGGGCAGGTGTGCCAGTGAGTATGCGAGGGGGCCTCCTGATGTGGGAAGTGCATGTAGAATGTAGCCGTTGGGCCGCCTGGTTCTCTTGGTGGTGGGCCCTGAGCCTCTGAGTGTGTCCCCTCCTCCCTCTGGGCCTTGGTTTTGCCTGCCGGCAGAGGAGTTGGGGGGCCTGCCTGCCCCGAAGCTCTCAGGAGCTGGGTTTCTGGAACAAAATTTCCCTAAAAGCAGATTCTTTTAGAAAAACAGAGACTTGGGCAAGTTGGTAAACTGAGTCACTGGCCCAGGCCCTGTTACCGTGTCTGCAACGAGCAGGTCCTACACTCTTGAAGGAGGTGGACGCCCCCCTGAGAGGCGGGGTTCGACCCCCCTCCTTCTGCCCACCCCCACACTTTGGCCTGGTGGAGGAATGCTTGTTTCTTCAGCACCCGACAGAGGACCTGCCTCAGTGGACCGCCTCCCCCCACCAGACCTCGCTGCCCAGAGAGGAAGGCGGCCACACGGGGGCCGTGTCTCGGAAGGCAGCCCTCTTCCTCTTGCCGAGATGGTCCAGAAAGGACCAGACACACAGAGATGTTTTTATCCTGCCGTTGGCACAGTGAGACCTGCTTTCCCAGAGAAGCTGAGAACAAATTAGGAGCCATCGCCCTGACAGCTCCAGGTGCCGGCAGGCCTGAGCAGAGAGGGACCCGCTTCTTCCTGCAGCTCGAGAGCTGAAGCCCTCTTAGGGGGAGCCCCCGACAGCCCCTCGGGCACACCCGGGGGTCTGCACCGCCTGTGTGAGGTGGAATGAAGCGGCTGCTTAGGACGGACGGACTTGGCCTTGGTCCGGCACATAGGGAGCAGAGGTGCAGGCTCCCCATCAGGGCCCAGGGCCTGAGGATGTGAGTGGGGTGAGGGCTGCCCCCCAGGAAATGCTGGGAGCTCCTGAGCAGGTGGGCCCTCCGCTCTGAGGGCAAAGCCCCAGGAGGTCGTGGGGTTTGCTCAGGGGGTCAGCCAGTGCTTTGGGCAGCCTCTCGTGGCCGCCAGGTTGAGGTAGGGGCCAGATGCACAGCTCTGTGCTCACGCAGAGGCCCCCAGCCGGGGTTCGGGGGAGCAGAGGGCCCAGGTACCGCCAGCCCCTCCTCGTGCGAGTGGTGAGTACAGGCAGGGGGTGGGCTTTACCGGGGGTGAGGGGGCCCCATGTGGAGGCCACTGCTGTCATTTAGCCAAGATGGAGGGGCACGGGCTGGTGGGAGAGGAGTGGGGCTCTGGGCCGACCAGGACCTCGGTTGATGCAGGGCCAGCCTGAATTCAATGTCTTGTCTGTGGCCCTCAGAGCCAGGCTGGAGCTTCCTGGGGGGCCGTGGGCGGGGCCTGAGGCCAGCCTCACTGACTAGCTTGTTTCCTCATCTGCAGCGTGGGTGGTGTGGGTACGAAGCAGGTGCTGGCCAGAGGGTGATGGCGTGGGACGGGGAGTCAGCATCACTGGTCTTGGGCACCACACCTCCCTGCATCCCTTCCTCCCTCCCTGCAACCCTCCCTCCCCCACTTCAGGGTCTTTGGAGGTGGGAAAGACAAACGAAAATTGTCATTAGCGTTTAAAAAGCCCTCCCCCAGGTTTGCATCTGTCCTGGTGACAGCACATCTCTAACAGGACTTGTTGGGAAGGTGCCGAGACTCAGTCTCGGCAGCAGAGACGGCCAGAACCCCGCTGCTTAGGTTTCTTGGGGCTTGTTTGTCCAGATCTACATGGCCTGTCGGGGGCTGGGCTGTGGTGAGTGGGCCGGTGCTCTGGGAGGGGGACTGTGGGAACAGCCTCAGGAAGACACACGTGGCATTTCTCACCTTGGCAGGCTGCAGACTGGTTCCATGTGGAAACTCCTTACCGTACCCCCCCTACTGCCCCCCACATTCCAGGGGGGCTTTTGGACTTGCATGGGTTTATGCGTTCACAGTGTTACTGGAGTGAGACTTGTGGTCCCAGGGAGCCCCTTTGAGGCCCTGTTCTGCCTTGAAGGACTTACCTGTTAGGTGGGGGGTAGGGGGTGTGGACGGATGGGGAAACGGAGGCCCAGAAGGTGGAATTAAAGTCACGACAACAGGTTAATCACATCCGATTCCTTCATAATCTTCTCTTTCTGCTTTCTGGTCCATGATGGGCATTTCCGGGGTGGCTGCTGGGCGCCGAGCAGCCTGGAGCGGAGGGTGTAGAGCTGATGGGTCCACTCAGTGTCTCTGTCCCTGCTCTCCTCCCCCTCCCCGAGTCACCTTATGGGACAAAATAAAATGCCAGCCTGGGGTGCCTTTTCCTGGCTTTAGACCCAAGTCTCCACTAACTGGCTGGGTGACCTTGGGCCTGCCTCTCGCCTCGGTCATTTCATCTGTGAAATGGGTGGGTCAGGGAGGAGCCTCCTTCTCGGGGCCCTGCCATTTCAGATGGCCCATGGAGGGCTGTCAGGGGCGACCGGCACCTTGGCTTGCTGGCCAGGGATCAGGTGGTGAGTGGGCAGGAGACTGAGGGCTGCCAGGGCCTCCCGCAGTGGTTCTGGGCCCTTCCCTGGCTCAGTGGCCCCTGGACCTGCTCAGTTAGGTATTGAGTGAGGGCATCCTGCCCTGGGGGCGCCGTAAAGACCTCCACCCAACCTCCTCGGGCAGCCCGTCCTCTGGCAGCACAGAATGTCCTTTAAGACCCTTTGGGGGCTCCCCATTTGTGGGCACGATGAGATGGCCCCCACTGCTCTCTTCCCTGTTACCCCGCAGACACCCCCCTCCCCACCCCTGGGCTCCTGTGATGCCCAGAATGCGCCTCACCTGCTGCTCCTGTGGCTCCTGCCGCCCGGAAGCCCCTTCCCAGATCCGGGTACTGCTGGCTGCCGCCCCTCCCCTGCTCTGCCCTCTGCCTGGAGCTCTAGAGGCGGCCCTGGCGATGGAGAGCTGCGTGCCTGGGGTTCCAGTAGCTGGCTCCCTGCCCGAAGGACGGCTGTGCTTGGCCTGCGGGCTCCCAGAGTGCAGGAGACCCCTCTGGATAGGGGGGCACCTCGTGGCTGCAGAGGGCAGAGTGGCTCGTCACGAAGGGGAGCCGCGCCAGCCCAGGGCATGCGTGTCCCTGGCACATGATCCCGTGGAGCCAGGATGTTGGTACCCGCTTCCCCACAGGCACGCCACACGGCTGGGACCCAGGTGGTCTGAGCCCTGGCCGCACCCAGGTGGGGCGCATCAGGAGGGCCGTGCCAGGCCGAGGGGAGCTCCGAGCATACAGGAGCCTGGTCTGCGGGGCGGGTCCGTCCGACGAGAGGGCACCTGCGGCACCATGCATCCCCTGCCAGCCCTTGGCTCCCCTCTCGGGCTCCTTCCCCCTGCCCTGCTTTGGAGGCGGCTGGTCTCTGGCTTCCCAGCTGAGGGCACCTCCCTGACACTGGTTCCAGGTGGCTCAGGCCTCAGGGGCCCCAAACCTCCCAGGACCCCGAGGGTCGGGGAGGGGTGCTGCTGGGGCAGAGGTGGCGGCTCTCAGCCTCCTGGCCAGTGGCCCTGTTTGGAGCAGAGAGGAGAGGGAACGTCCATCTCGTTATGGAGTGTGAGCTGTACGTGGGTTCAGGCAGCGGCGTGAGGCTGGGAGTGGGCAGGCAGCGGCGGGATCGGTGGGCGTCAGGAGGTGTCTGGGCTCCCGGTGAAGTAGTGTCCAGGAGCTGCTGCCCCTCCCCACTGTCGGCCAGCGGCAGCTCTGTCCCCAGGCCTGTCCTCTGCCCCTCGACGGCCTGTATCTCCACCTGCAGCTGTGCCAGAGCCCTGCGTCCTCCAGGGCCTCGGCCCTCCCTCCTCTGGAGTCTGGCCTGCAGGGCTGGGTGCCCACTGCCCATTCTCAGTGGCCGTGAACCCTCCACCCTGTGCCTTCTGTAACTGAGCATGTGGGGTCCCGAAAGAAGGGCTGGGGTCCCTTCAGACACACAGCAAGGCTGTGGCCAGCCTGGGGAGAGCCGGCTCTCCCAGCGGGCCCTGCCTCGCACCCCTTCCAGCCTCAGGTCCCCTCTCTGAGCCTGTTTCTTAGTCCTGTGGGGTGATCAGAAATGGGGGACTCTCAGATAATGGGCTGCGGGGTGCTTGGCGGACTGGAATGTGGGGCATCCCTGGGTGCCACTGTGGTGACCCCTGGGGCTGCAGGCTGAGCTGGGGGCTGGGAGACAGGGCGAGGCCTCTCCCGAGGGGCAGGAGGGGTGCCTGCAGGTCCCCACCACACTCCCTCAAGTGCCCAGCCCTCCGCCGGGGCCCCTTTCCTGGGAGCCCATCCTCCCAGAGGGCGGAGGCAAGG